ACTTAACGTATTTGATTTATGAAAGGATCCGAAGAGTGACAAGGCCTGGTCTTTCGGGCCCTCTATTCATACAGATACAGGGTGGTCAGAATTCTGAATTTCAAACTATACCCTATATTTGTTCCATGTAAGCCATTTTGACCAATAATGAATACCTAGTTTCGACACATAAAAATCCTAAAATTGAAAAATCTTGATTTTCAACACCCTATATATATCTGTAGAAACCAAGTGTGATACATTCCACGAAATCAGCTTTCCAGGGAGACTCTAAAAATGCAATGAAATACAGGGTGTTCCGTTTGAAAACATAAAGTTGCTGCTACTTTCTAGTAGGAGCGGCAACGCCGCATCGTTTCAAATAAACTACGCAACACTAATTTCGTCGCACCCCAAAATGTTGACCATATTGAAATATGAATAACCTTTTTCTGCTTTGAACAATTCGAATTCGGATCACACTGTTCGCTAGCTCAGTGCTTCAGCTATAAACCTGAGGTTTTTCACATTGAATCGCTACAGGGTGTTACCTGAAACTGTGCAAAATTACCGAATTTTCGAAAGGGTCTCAAATGAAGATGACCTCATTATCTTGCTACAGTTTTGGAATGGTCATCTTATTTCTTCTATTCACAGAATGATCTCCAAAAACACAACTTCTCTGTTTTGCAGTCATAACTTTTTTCCTCGTTAACCGATTTTCCGAATCTCAGGCTCATTTCGAACCTGAAACTTATGATGAAGAGGTATGTACAGGGTGGCCCATTATTGTGAGAAAGTGAGATAACGGCTTCGCTGTTTGAGACAAATAAACAAAAATTTCTGAGATGGTTCAAGCTCATGAGCAGCACATTCCTATAATATTTTGCGTTGAACAGGGTGACTCAAAAATACGTGAAGTATAAAAGCTACCTATACTTCTTCTTATAGAACACCATGTATTGTATTGTATTTTCAGATTCTCCATGAGCTGATTTCATCGATCTATCACACTTTAGGTTTGGGGGATGTTATGACAGATTTTGGGGGTGTGAAAAATCTAGATTTTTCAACATTCGGATTTTTTTTGGTCAAAAGTACCCATTATTGGTCAAAACGGCATCAATTTCCCCATTTCAACTTTCGATTTACTATCTACTGTCATTTAATTTTGATGGATACAGAGTGATTCATGATTATACTGAATTATTAACCACCCTGTATTCGTTCAAGCCGTTCCGATCAATAATGAGTACTATTGACACAAGGAATCTCGAAAGATGAGAAATCTCGATTTTCTACACTCCTTATCTCTGTCATCACTTCTTAGAACCAAAAGTATCGAAAATTGAAAAATCTAAATTTTTCACACCATATATCTCTGTCATAACTTTCCTTCAACCTGAAGTGTGATAGATCGATGACATCAGCTCATAAGGAAGAATCTGAGAATACAATACAATACAGGATATTCCATAAGAAGAAATATAGGTAACTTTGATACGTCACGCATTTTGAGCCACCCTGTATAACGCAAAATATTTTAGAAATGTGCTGCTCATGTGCTTATACCATATCTCAGAAAACTTTGTTCATCTGTCTTAAACAGCGGAGTCATTATCTCACTTCCTCGCACTAATCGGCCACCGAGTGGGTCACCCTGTACATATCTCTTCATCTGAAGTTTCAGATCCAAAATGAGCCTGAGATTTGGAAAATCGGTCGACGAGGAAAAAAGTTATGACTGCAAAACCGAAAAGTTATTTTTTTGAAATCACTCTGTAAATGAATTAAATAAGGAGACGATTCAAGAACTGTCCCAAGATAATGAGGTCATCTTCATGATTCTGCTGTCAAAGTTCTAAAAAAAAAATTTTTCTTCATTTGGGACCATTTTGAAAATTCCGAAATTTTGCACAGAATCAGGTAACACCCTGTAGCGATTTTATGTGAAGAACCTTATGTTCTGAAGAAGTACGAGATTATAGCTGAAGGACTGAGCTATAGCGAACAGTGTGATCCGAATTCGAATTGTTCAACGCAGAAAAAAGTTATTGATATTTTAATATGAGCAACATTTTGGGGTGCGACGAAATTAGTGTTACGTAGTTTATTTCAGAAGTGCAAATCATGTCAATTTATACGTACCATCAAATATTCAAAAAATAATTATTTTTCTTCAGTTCGGGCCCAGCGATGAAACGAAACGAATAATTACGATAGATCGCCTGTACAATAATTTCAGAACAGAAATTCTATGAAGTTATATTCACAATACGAATAATGTCAATAGATTTCCATATTACTTCCATCGAAATTCATCCACACAAAAGAGTTGAAATTTTCCGAATGAAGAATGCAGATACTATTCGAGATATAATAAGAATAAAATACTATACACTGTCCTCATAACTTTACTGTGTCCTCCCAACCTCACACAAAAACTATTGAAAATAGCGGGAAATAGCGTCCTCGTAAAGAGAGTCCTCGCAATACATTGTAAGTATGGAGTCCTCGCAACAGGCAAAACTGCAAAGTGTGAAGTGAAAATAAGAGAATTCATTGAGTGTATTATCAAATTTAGATACCATATACATGATAATCGTCCACCACGCATATTTCATGTGCTTAAAATGATTCCTTCACAGGGTCCTCGCTACAGGGCATTTGGTTCAAAGTCCTCATAAACCCCCCCTTCTACGTATAGGTGTATGTATGTATGTATGTATGTATGTATGTATGTATGTATGTATGTATGTATGTATGTATGTATGTATGTATGTATGTATGTATGTATGTATGTATGTATGTGTGTGGGCGGTCCGGGACCTGACGCACTCAGGCCTCCCTTTTCGGGCCCATTGTGCACCCACATTCCTGGGATCGCAAGTCAGCCATGGAGAAGGCCGATCTCGCGAGCAAAAGAGACCAACTTTCTAGGCCAAATCTTCTTAACATCCTCTGGGTCCAGGATAGTGCTCCCAAAATGGATATCCCTTGCTGCCACTATTGCCGGGCATTCAGTGAGGATGTGAGTAGAAGTCTCTTCATCCTCTAGGCACCATCTGCATTCAGGATCCTCCACAATCCCGATAATGCTGAGATGTTTGTTCAGGTGGCAGGCCCACCACCAGTTTCAGCTCCTTCCTGTTCAAAGCCAAGAGGGCATTGGTCTGTCTTCGTGACGGGTTTCCTATATGGAGTTCGGACTGCCTCATTCGAGGAGCCTTTCTCCAGCTGTCCTGAAACTTTTTCGTCAGGATTTCCTTCATCTTGAAGTTGCTCCAGGATCGTGTGACCCCTAAGATTGGCTCTGGGCCAATCACTGAACCCTTCGCCCCCTTTCTGGCCAGACCATCGGCCATTTCGTTACCTGGTACCCCTGAGTGTCCAGGGACCCACAAAAGACATACCTTGTTCGTTGCTATGCACTATGACACCAAGGCGGAGGTCACCCTATACGAGGTGAGCGCCTTGATCACCGCCTGCCTGTCAGTGCATATAGTGATTTGCTGGCTGTGATAGCCCCTCTCGATCACATGCAAGTATTGCAAATACTTCAGCCTGAAAAATCGTGGCATGTTTCCCAAGGGTATAGCAGTGATTTGCCCTTGGGGACTGCCCATAGACCCCAACACCTGCGCATTCTTCCATCCTGGAGCCATCTGTATACCAGATGATGCCCTTGGTGGTATTATGCAGTGCCCATTCTATTCTCAGTCTATCCTAGTAGGAATCTTGACTTGGGGCATTTTCCTGAATCGAATGATCGGTGTTATGCTGTCCCCTATCATACTGAGTGAGGGGTAGTCGTCTGTAATTTGCTTCCAAAGGCGAGAATGTCCGTATGTTCCTTCGCTCCTCCACTGGTTACAGCTTTGTAAGCGAACGGCGGTTAGATATATACCAACAAATTTCTACAAGAAGCTCCCGATGAAGCATATCTGTTGAAAAAGATAAATTATACTTTATACTTAAACTCTTTGTTGTCATCAGAAAGACAGTGTATCTTTATTTTATTGCATCAATGGGTAATAAAGAAGAAACAATGAAAATCCCAAAGTCTGTCGACCACAAAATCGACAGAATTTGGGATTTTCATTGTTTTTTCTTTAAAATCAATTGGACCACTTTGAGAATAATGGATGATTTCTATGATTTCAATGGGTAATGTTCAATTTGGTTACAGAGTTTATCGTACTATGGCTCAGAGGTCTGAAGCTCAGGTTCCACGCTGGTGGTCCAGTTTCAATTCTCGGTAGGCCCGACCTTTTTTTCTGGCTTGTCAGTTATATCCATTTTTCTATTTTTGTTTCCATTGGACATATGGGATAATATGGATAAAAACTTTCTCAACTATCTCAATCGCTTATACTTTCAGGGTGGTTATTTCCAAAAGCTGCGTTAGTAGAAAAAATCTTGTGTGTATTTCGAGCACAAGGTGTTATTGCCGCTCTCCAAATATTACCGCGCTCCGTTCCGCATCGCGCGGTAACTTTCTTTGTCGAGCGGCAATCTATCACTTTGCGCTCTAAATACACAAATAGCTATTATTTGATATGATTTTTGTTATATGAATTGGAATCACGTATTGGTATTTGATAAACGAAGAGAACATCACGATGTAGAAGTGGATGTGAGGAATGAATCTATAAATTGAATAAATCAGTGAGTTATCCAGAGACAGATGTTATTCAAATGCGCATATATGGAACTATTGATTTTTTCGCATTCGGACTGAAAAATTAGTGTATATAGCGAATGTTTCGTAATATGTGGGACGCACTTCGAGAGGTGTACATTTTCGCACAGGAAAGTGCAGTTTCTCAATCATTTTGCGACAGTGTAGTTTTTCAATCATTTTGATCAGGCTAGTAGTGATTGGCACGGGTGCCATTCGATAAACTACAATGGTTGTACATGCCTTTGGGACATAATATATCATTTCGTTATCAGATGACGGTCGGAATTTGCAGCCTTGGATCTTGGACAGATAACAGAATCATTCATTTCTATTTCAGAACATTCACGAACGCTTATATGCCAGTTGGATTCGAACTCGCAATGGAACTAACATATCCTTCAGAAGAAAGCACCACCACTGGCATTCTGATGGCGGGGACTCAGATTCTTGGCGTGGTATTCACTGTGGCCTTGGGGTACTTCAACATGTGGATGGGATGCTTTTGGGCATTGGCTACTCAGAGTGCTTTTCTCTTCCTTGGGACTGTTGTAACAGCTCTCGTACCGAACACACTATTGAGACAAGAAGCATATAAGCTAAATAATGTTGGTTTCGACAGAAAAGCATCATATCATGGATCAAGACTTGTATTTATTGAATAAATTAGGAAACGTTGAATGTTGAGTCTATGCGGATTAGCTGTAATGAACGAACAAAAATCGCTGAAATTCGGCAGAGATATTTATTGTCAGTAGGTGCCTCCAAGACAACGCCCATACATCCATTTAACTAATTTCAATCAGGAACAACTTCAGTAGGAATCAAATTTATCGATGCCCTAATAACAACACTTATGTCCCATGGATATCCTTAGGACGTCCTTTTTAAATTGAACACCCTGTATTCTACAAGCTCGTTAAATTCCTTAATCTTTTCCCTTCGCAATGATATATGATGTATGAATATAACATTTTCAAAAATGTTCGAAAATTACTAAAACATTGAATTTTAATAGTGGGCTATGAGTTTTTCGAGAGATTTTCATATAAAGAAATTTACAATTGAAGGAATATTTCCTTCGATTGTTCCATGGAGGGGGAAAAACAATTTTAACACTAATTAACTTGCAATACACAAAACTTCCCAGCCAGCACAAAGAGGTCCTAAAGATATCTTGAAGAAATCCTTTTAGGAAATTGTGATGCCTTTTGTAACTCCTTTGAGAGATCGCCAAGAGTGCTATATCTATGCCAAATGTCCCCCACCTAGGCTGAGCTCAGCGAGGTCTTGAAGATATCGCACGCAGAAATTCTCATACAATGCCCTCAGGCGCGCACTTTGGGATATACGCTTCCATCGCCACTGGCGATAACTGAAAGTGCTCGCAATCATGAGCTGTTTGAGAAATTCGCATACATTGCTTTGTGACGAGGACATTGGGAGATTCGCATCAATTGCTTCTGTCGAGGTCTTTAAGTGCTCGCGACTACGAGCTGTTTGAGATTTTCGCACGCATCGCCTTGTGAAGAGAACTTTAGGAAATTCGCATCAATTACTAATAGCGAACTCTTCAAGTGCTCGCAACTATGAATTGTTCAAGAATCCGTGCACATCACCTTATAACGAGGTCTTTAAGAGCGATATTTGCATCAATCGCCAAATGATCGCCACTAATATGGTAAGGTGTTCAATGTTTGAGAAGTCATTGGTTATCAGCAGTCTCCTGTCGGCGAAGTCTAACTAGCGCCAGCTATATTGTTTGGGGTGGAGTTAAATTTACTGGATATTTATTTCAGCGAAAAAGATTGAGTTACCAAACTTAGAGTTAGATCAACGTAATGAGCTTTAATTATATATTATTCTATAGCAAGACATTGATCAAGTAAACTTTATCACTTGAAAAAATCTCCGAGGAGTTGGCCGGGTATCCTTTAAAAAAAAAAGGTCGTCCGATATCTACCCACGAATTTGAGGTAGATATTTGATTCTCGATCCCACCTGAATTAGATCATTTTTGTCTTTTTCGTCAGAGCAGATAATTAATTATCATTAATTCACTGCAAAATTTGAAATAATCAGTAAGAAAATCTAGTATCTAGTATACAATTATTATTATCATAGATTAATGACTATATCATTTCATGTTAATACTGGGTGTCCCAAGTTATCGTAAAGGTACCAGCAAAAACTTGCTTACTCGACAAGATGAACAAAAAATAGTAAAAATGCTTCAAATGACATCAGAGAACTTTCTTTATGACTCAAAAAAAAAGTGTATAAGATTGGACAGCCACCTGGTAGCAACTCCTCAATTTTCATTTAATGGACTCCCTGTATATTGTCATTGAAAATTGCCAATCATCATCCTATTTCGGGAATGCACGATAGCACATCGGTACTTTGTATTTCGTTCATTAATAACAACATTAACAATAAAATTTTTTGACCTCATTTACGTTACATCGATTGAAAATTGCCTCCTCCCATGTTCGTAAAAATGTCCCACAATGAAATTAGATTAATTATTACACTAGGTAGGTACCGTCTGCAATGATTGATGTTCTGCAGTTCAAAATGGAATATCTGTCATTAATATTTTGAAACAAAAATGCAATCCATACTTCTTATTTGTGAACTTTTTGAACACATGGGTGAAAGCAATTTGTCATTTGAGTAACGTAAAAAAGTCACAAAATGTTCATGTTTTTGTTGTTATCAAGAACAAAACACAAAGTATGTGCTATATCGTTGTATTCCAAATAGATTGACACGCAATTTTCAGAGACAATATGCTACTAGATCAGTATCTACCATCCGGGGGCTGCCAAATATATCACATTCTTCATAAGCTATTAGGAAGGTTATTTAATGCCATTTAATGCAGTTTTTTAATGCTTTTGATATCTTGACAAATAGGCGAGATATTGCCTGTAAACGATAACTTGGGACACCCAGTATTTGAATTATAAAGGCTATTGAAAAAAACAACCCAATATTTTTGTAGGAATATTCATTAATTATTCAGGTTATGTTTGTGATTACTTCAGGAGCTCGCAATGGGAAATGCTCGATCTTGTTACGTCCAGGATATCCTTGGGTGCTCGCAGAAAGAAATGCCTATTCATTTCCTGTTATAGATAACCTCAAGGATTCGCAATAATGAGGAATATATCAAATCTGAGGCGAGATCTCCGCGAATTCTTTCGGACGACACCAGAGAGTATTTCCCATGGTGACAGCCTATAGTGATCTTTGATACCTCGCAGAAGGATTTCGCATTTTGATCCTGAAGATAACTACTTAGAGATATCGCGGAGAGTACCGTGTTACCTGGGTTAGATACCTGATATCCACAAATATATAGTAATAAAAATTTATAATGTAGAATAAGCACCTGATTGAATATTTACTAAAACAATTGAATTTCGAAATTATTCAGTGATTTATTCATTGAATTGTTTAAATCGATGTCCATTTTCCATCACAAACTTTCTCAATACATATCAATCATTGAAAGATGTCTTTGTAATTCCTGGAAAACTGCCTCTGTTGTTGCACAAAGTTCTTCAAGTATGTTGGGCCACTCACTGTATTAAGAACTATTAAGAAATTTTGTCAACTGTATGTTGGAGGAAATGGATATCAATTTGAACATGTCAATGAATAAGTTACTGAATAATTCCAGAATCCAATTGTTCTAGTCAATATTTTATCATGCAGGTGCTTATTCTACATTATAAACTTTGTATTACTATTTATTTGTCGCTATCAGATACCCAAGTTTAGTGTTTTGTTAATTAATAAGTGTTGATATCGGTTTCGACCTCTCCATGGAAAAATTTGAAAAAATATTTCTTCAATTGAAACGTTTTTTATAAGAAAAATCCATAAACAACTATCAAAATTCAATATTTTAGTGATTTTGAGCAATTTAGAAAATTTTATATTCATTCGTTATATATCATTTTGAAGACAAGAAAATAAGGAATTTAATGAGCTTATGAAATACAGGGTGTTCCATTTAAAAAATCATAAGTTTGAGTCGTATCTCCAAAACCATACCCCGAAAAAAAATTTAAGTGCGCCACTGGATTATGCGTGGAATTCTCTATGCGATAAGATCTTGATTCAACATTTTTGTTGAGAAACTTCGTGGATATGGAGGGGGTCCAAATAGTATAAATTTTCAAAATCGCCCTGTATCTCATAAACGGAAACAGTCTTGCAAAATCTGATTAGGCCATCTTGAGTTTCACAAAAAAGTGGCACAGGACCGCGAAAACCGCTGTTAGAATATTTTTTTTCCTCCGATTGGCAGCAAATACTGATTTTGCTGACACATATCGATCAGCAAAGTATTACTTTTCCTGCCTAGGCAGCAAAGTGGGTACTTTGCTGCCTAGGCAGCAAAGTGGTTACTTTGCTGATTGATATGTATCAGCAAAATTAAAAATCCATAAATCGTTTATAATTTCCTTCATATTCCATCCGAGACTTCTCCGGCAACAAATTCAACTCTATATTTTTTGCCACCTCCCTTATTAATGGAGGTGTAAGTATACTTCCAGGTCGCTATCACTGTCCAATATATAATAATTTGAATAGACCGATATTTTTTCGCACAACTGTCAGAAATTTCATGAATTGTCAAACCAACAACTTCGATTTCTATCAAATTTTATTTTAATTGAACACTATACAGGAAGAATAAAGAGATTGTGGGAATTGTATTAATTCGCAAATACAATATTCTCCCATATCATTATGAACAATCGGAGAAAAAATTATATGTTCAACTCGGCAGCGAAGTAGATTGACTGCCTTAGCTGGATTCCTAGCCTCGCTACGCTCGGCTATGAATTCAGCCACGGCAGTCAATCTACTACTTTGCTGCCTAGTTAAACAAATAACTATTTCCACAGGAATGAGTGGGGATTTTATAACCCCTAATCAACTACAGATGTAAGTACTTTACTTAAAAATGGTGGGTTCTGATTTTATTACACAGACTTCTGTTCAAAAATCTGACCAAGGAATCCAACAAGAAATTTATTTAACGTGCACTAGGCTTGTCCAGTGACTAGAGAATTATTAGCACACGGCCTGACTAGCTTCGTGGGTGCTCTGTATGATAGCTCTTGGGTCCCCCAATAAAACAACAATTCGGCTGAACCTAAATATTTAATGGATTGATCATGGTTTTAGCAATGCAGTTTTGAACATTATACAATATCAGTATAGTGGTATCAGGGGAGTATTTTTCCCATATAATCTACCCATAACAATTACCCTTTTATTTGCAACTATCTAGGACAAATCTTGAATATAATTCCAAACCAAAAATTAAATTAACCAGGTAAGGATAGCCTGTGCGCAAGGGAGATCTCTCTTGGGCCTACAAAATTAACCCTTCAATCATATTGATACCGCCAATAGGTGACCTCAACACTTAGGTAACATGGGTTTGCTCATTTAACAATCTCCAGTGAAATATTAGGTGAACCGTTCAGTGCAAAAGAAAATAATAATGATAGTCATTGGAAAAAAAAAAAGAACAGAACATCAACAATAGGACCACTTAGCTGGTTGCTGTAGGCCTTGCTTTAGGCCCCAATCAAGAAGAAGTGGTGGGCAAGGTGTCCTGGATAGGCCCCGGTCATTTAGCAGCCTCAACCCTGGCAGCTGGTATCTCGTGCAGTAGGGGCTGTTTCTCAAGCATGATGAATGTCCACTTGAGTTGGAACTCGGGTCGGAAGTCCAAAACACCTTTGAGGATATCCCAATCA